CTTGTTAGGAAATTTCATTACATTTTGAAAATAACAATTAATGTATTTTAATTTCAGTTAGGCTAAATGTGCAAATACTTGAAACTACTTCAAAAGATGTACATAAGCTGGAAATTAAAATAGAATTGGTAATAGAAGCTAAAAACGTGCAAGAGAAATACTATCATGGAGTGAGAAAAAGATACTACATTATGGATGATTAAAAATTAATTTAAAAGCAGGAGTACTGAAATATATTGATGAAATGCTAATAATGGTACTATAACAATACACACAGATTTTTGGTATTATTTACTAACGTTGACATATTTACTAATTTCATTTATAACAAACTTATGAATATTGGTACTTATATTATAGTTTGGAAAATCACACTCATCTAAATTTATATTCTTGAGTTTTTTATACTATACGATTCACTTTACTATTCCAACTATTTACCATATCTAAATTTCAATATATCCAAATTTAAATTTCATTTGCAAAGAATAACTATCAAAAATTTATCATTTGCTATTGAATTTATGAAAATATGAGTACCTTAATCAACTAATTTAATAATATTTTTTTTATTAATGCTGGTGTCAATTATTTTCATCATTCAGAACATATATTTCAAATTAATTTAGCACAACTGAAAATAAATATCATGAATGAGGGTATTCCATGATGATACAAGTATTAAACACTGAGTATTCAGCCTGAGCAGGAGCCTGTAGTGCCTCTGATAGATCTTACCATCGGTGGAGCGTGAGCGATGTTCACCTGGCCGCTGACAGTCGTGTATTGAGCACCGCCCATGTGCCCGGTTCCATATGGTCGAGCCCCTACAAACCGTATCATGCAACTATCCGAGTGGTATTTACAAGGATCGATCTGCGGGATCGATTGATCGCTTGACAAGAAGCTAGGATACCAACACAAATCGGCTCCGTGAATTGCAAAGCGAGAACGTTTGTCACGGATAAGCGCCAAATGCCTCGTTTATTACATACATGATGAAGAGTAAGAAGAAAAAAAAATAAAAATAAAAAATATATAGGTATATACAAAATTATTATAAAGAGTAGAAAATAACTGTAGAGGCAGTCGTGCAAGAATCTCTAGAGCTTCTGTAGCTCCTTTCATTGCTTTGGGAACTTGATAGAGAAAGAAATAGAAAGAATAAGTTCAATTGAAGCCATACGAGTAAAGATTTTGCAACATTTGGTCTACTGATTTATGTATATTTAAGATCAATTGGTATTTGGTAGCCATTTTCAGTGATGGGGATTATGTTACATGTATTTTACTTATTTGTAGGTTTTTTAAGGGTTTGTTGAATTACAGAGCATAACATAACTTCTATTTTACCTTGGGAAGTAGAGGAAATAATATATAAGTGTCAATTGGTTCTATGTTGTACGTACAAAATATATAATAATGGACATAAAAGTTTTCTATAATAAATGTAGAAAATCTAATACTTTATGCCAACTAACATAAACTACAATAGGAATATGAAGTAAAGAAGAAGAAATTGATATTCTTTGTCTTTAAAAGGAATGATAAAGTAAATCAAAGATGGAGAAAAGAGAAAAGAAATAGAACATTATAAAATAGATGATTATATAGTGTGGTACAATTTACTCCTATACAGTCTCCAAATAACCAACTGATTTTAAATAAAAATAAATTTCATCAAAACAACAATTACATATACTTTTTAGGCTAACGCGTAAAACACGATAATTTGTATTTAATATTTTATAAGTCGGTGAATAGTTATATCAAAATACAGTGTCTTATTTCTAATTCCTTGTCAATGTGTTAATAGATTACTTTTATATTTCTCAAGAGGGGCCACACTTTAACTCATATATTTTTAAGGGGTTGCGAATACTACAAGACACTGATTTTGGGACACAAGAGATGATGAAGAAAAGTTTTTACACAATCTTACCGTCTCCACCAACTCTCATAACTGCGGGTATGGCAACTGACACGGCTTCCACATTTCCTTTGCCAACGTTGCTCGTTTCGTGTTGCATGATCGTTGCTCTGGAAAGAATATAAAATACATGTTACAGAAAAATATACAATTTTCGAATAATATTAATCAGATTTTTATTTTAAACATTTAAATACTCTGTGTTGTATCTGAATAAATTTTCAACATATTAAAATGGTCTCAACATATCAAGATGTTAAAAATTAATTATCTACACAGAAACTTTACTTCCTCTCTCTCTGTTTTGCTTCTATGTAGCTTCGCTGCTTCTGTCTCAAAAACTCCTCCATGAGATCACTTTATTTAAAATAAGAACAAACAAAAAGGTAGGGCACTACAATAGTCTTTATAAAACAGAATCCAATATGCAAGGAGCAAAATAAAATTGAAAAATGAGTCTCAACCTATCAGCCTTAGTAATTGCCCTAATACATCTCCCATCACCACACCAATTAACAAACTTAGTACATATGCTGTAACACTTACTTCAAAGGCGATACACTATCTTCAACCATAGTTGAACCTTCATCTCCTTCAATACCAAAGTGATCTTTAGCTTTCTGTTTCTTCAGGATGATGTCAATGTATCCAGAGATTAACTGAAGAATTTGTTCTGCTTCTGTGGTCTGTACGCTGTAATACTGATCAGAGTAATCGCCAAAGTCGAGTGTGAATGTGTTTGGAGAGGCACCCCAACGTCGGACGGTAGTCAACGGCCAAGTTTTCAAGATTTCTTTCGTTTTTTCATCAAGTCGCAAGACAGAGTCCTTGGTGACACCAAGCAAACGGGGTACCAGCTTGTTTTTCCCTTTCATTTTCTCTTTCACTAAAAAGAACGTGACACCGTAAGTGCTCAAGGACCTCGCTGTCTTCGTGTACAACACTTTGGCATCAAGCTCGGACAGGCCGATGTGTTTCTTGTGTTCTGCAAAGATTTTCTTCTCGATACCCTTCACCTTCAAGTAGGACTGCGGCAAAAATTCCTTCAGACTGGAATAAAAAATGTAAGTATCTTGATTATTAATTTGAAGTACTTCTTGACAATTTCTTCACTTATACAAATGAACTGATTCATAAATTGTTGAAGAATATGTAGAATACTATTAGAATTTGACTCTTTTTAATTATCATTGTAGAAAGATTTGATAATAATATTCAAAGAATTGGTTTTGTAATAGTAATTTTACACAATACTTCTTTCACTTTTTAATTATATTCTCATTCAAATTCAGCAATACTTCTTTTAATTTTAGGAAAGTAATAAAATATTTTATGAATTCTTTAACTTGCTTAAAGGATCTTTGATTTCTCTTGAAATTTTGTATACAATATAGTGTTGATTTCATATAAGTAATAGGAAGAGTCATAGAAATACCCTGAATTTGTTATTAGCATGAAAGCACTTTGACAAATATTTCCTTCCCAAGTATATCTACACAAAGTATTTACAATTTTTACAGATAAAGTATTCACAATTAGAAAAGATTGACATTTTATAATAATAAAAGATAGAAGTGTCTTTCCATGAAAAATTCATCTACATAATTTTGAATCTTATGTCATTGAATCTCTTCATCTTCTTATCCTAATTACATCAGATTCTTCATATACTTATTGTTAACATATCATAGTAACGACGAAAGGAAGAAATCAATATTTCTTATCTAAAAACTTACTCGAGAAAGCCCGGCTTGTGCTTGTCTTCCTTGTAATCACCGAACTGGATCTGGCATTGTATTCCAGCAAAAGTACAAGCTTTTTCCTGAGTAACCGGATGCGTGCCATCTAGAATTGCGTCTCTTGCTTGAACGTACAAAAGAGATAATTGCACCGGATCTCTGCTGTCGATATTTTGATCTGAGAAGAAGAACTTTCTCCGCAGTAGCACCGTTTCTGACTCGTCTATTCCTTGCTCTCTCAACGTCTTACTAGGATCTATCCAGTTCACTGAAAGAACAAAATGGTATTTCCTTGTATCATGAAAATCTATACTTTAGATCCAACGAGTATCCATTGTAAAAATATTAATATTATAATATGTATGTAGTGATTAGAAAGACCTCTTTATGCAAAAATTAGCTTCTTTAGATTTAGCTAAGACTCAGCAAGCATAATCAAGATTTCAAAAATAGTAGATTTTAAATTTTATATATAGATTTGTACATTTATATTGATATTATATATACGTAATAATTAAAATATGTATAACTAGTATTTTCTTAAAGCAAATTATTTGTACTGAATTATGTGTAAAAATAAGATTAGAGAATTTTAGCTATTATACTTATATTTAAATCCCTGTTAAAAATAATATGTATTAAAAATTCCAAAATAACTATTAATTTTACTTTCATGGAATTTGTTACATTTTTGTCTGTCATGTTCTCATATTTTTTTAAATTTAAATTTAATTCTATCTATCAATACACCTATTAAAAATTTTTAAAAAATTATCCACTTGTTGCATTGTATTTCCAACATTCCATTCTTAACATTTTTATGGTAGCTTTCTTTTCAATTCTTTTTAAACTAAAAACCACCTACAACAAACTTAAATGTACAACACATTTCTTTTATTATTTTATTATTATTTTGACATATTGTTTCAAACTACTTATTTCTCCAAATTGTATCTAGTATCTCTATCTAAATTTAATCTATAAATTGGATCTGAATCTTCTGAAATCTATAGTACATATTATTTGCAAACCTAATTAAACACGTTTACATAAAACTAAAATTAACTTAGCACTTCTATACAAAGATAAAATTCAATATCCCTTCCTTGCACGATTATCCACCCACCACTTGCTCCACACAAAAGAATCCTGCAAGAACCGCAAATAAACAACCATACTACATCCAAACTTACTACACTCAGCTGCCAGTTTCAAAATACAGAAAAAATGAAAAAGTATAAAAATATAATACCATATAATGAGTGTTAAACCCCCACATTCCAAGTACAAAGACATCCTTTTCCCAACAGCCTCCAAAAAAATGACTCCTCACAGGACTCTTCCTCCACACACACATATCTCGCCACGGCCATTAAACTTCTCTATTCCGGAAGTTTAATAAGTCCGAATTTTTATCGTGGCTAGATTAAGACTCGCTGCTCACCTTCGTCGTCGGTCTTAAGCTTCTTCCTTAACTGATCCATCTTCGCGTCGCGCTCTCCTTTCTCCTCTTTCCTCCTCTTCAGCGTGAGGGTGCCGAAATTGCCGGGCTTCTGATTCTCGGTCTCCTCATCGGCCAGCTCGCGTACCAACGAGTACTCATCGTGGTTCGTGATGCCTATCTTCGTACAAATTACTACCATGAGATTGGCGACGGGCTGACTGTCATCCACCAGCAACGTCTTCAGCGTTCCATCCAGCATGCGCACCCGAAGGGTCCGCAGTTTGCGTCGGTACTCGAGCAGATCGCCGTTCCTCAGAATGTAATAATCGAGATTCCGGCCTGGCTCCAGCCATACTCCCTTCTTCACGTCCTCGTCGGCAAGGAATAATCCGTAGTCCTTCGCTGTCGATGCAAAAAGAGAACATGGTCATTACAGTTGTGCTTACATCGTGGCTACGCATAGGGAATTCCTAGGGACTTGTTAGAATCTCGGCGAGGGTGAGTGTGAGTAAATGAAGTGTACCATCCGCTTTCGCTGGTTTCTTTTAGGATCGCTGCTTGGTCTTTAGGATCGTGGTCAAACTATTTGCCAGGGATTCTAAAAGGATTTCGTGGAGTTGCGCTTCGACCTGGCTGATGGAGATTAAGAAGTTAGCGGTTTAGTGGATTGGCTATTTTTTGAGGGGAAGTTGGAGAGCTGCCTGTGAAGTTATTCGTGGTGCACGTTGCAGGTGAAGTGGTAGAATTGTGAAGTGTTTTTGGGGAAAGTTACTCGTGGAGGATTTTGCTCGTGGTTTTGTTGGGATGTTAAATCGGAGCTACTTTTTTTAGTAATTTATTTGGGTTTGTTTAAAGACGCGACTGTGTTTTCGCTAGAACAATGATTTTCCTACTTTTATAACGATCGTGATATATAATAAATCTATAAATCTGGAATAATTTTTGTTCAAATTCTAGAGTCAATTTGTCAGTAACTAGATATCCTACTCGGTTACTCCTTTATGTTTTCCCAAAGGTGTGACTATATTTTTCACAGATTGCACTTCAATTAAGTGTTACCAAAAGATTCTATACCTTCGAAAAATGTATTAAATTAATAATACGTTATTGATAATAAAATTGCATAGAAACACGAAGCTAGAAGATTCAACGACCGAGTTTTCAGATCAATCTAAAAAGTCATCAGCCTTTAACCATCGACTTTATTTTCAACGTAAACATCTGACGTGTAAAACGGCGAAGAAAACGAAGGAAGGAGAAAAATGCAAATTTGCGTGTTCGTTAGTGCAGCGTCGTTGAATATTTCAGGTGCAAGTAGAAGCTTACGTTGGCCCATGTTACTCGCTTCAGCGAGTTTCTCTCTGATAATACGGCAAGCGTCGTAAATGGATGTGCTCGGGTCGAATTGCATCATCTTCGTGGCGTTTTTCTCCGGGATGGAGATACGCAAGGATAGGGTGGCCATTGCGATTGTCTGGGGTGATCTGCGTGCACGAAAACCACCGGAATCACTCGACTGAAAAACAAAAATAACGTAGGTCAGCCTTCGAGATTCTCTCCTTTTTTTATTTCTCTTTGCCTTAAAACTACGAAGTCTTAGGCTAAGAGTAATTCAACTGGAGCTGTTTAGGAGACTGGTTGCAGAACCAATCTGAGTGATAGGTTAACGATTTCAGCAGACTAGGCTTGCTTCAACTTTTTATTAGTTTTAATATAGGAAATATATTCCTTTTTTAAAATTTATTTTCGTGTAATTAAATGGGGAATAAATATCAACTATTGAAAGTATTTATTAGTTTGGGTGGAATTTAAATGAAATTTCTAATTTGAGAACAAGTGAATTTGGTATTTGAGTTTACAGCAATTATGCAAGAAAATTTTGTGTAATATTAGATCCATATAAGATCTCCGAATGATGTATTTATTTGTTTCTTAATTTAATATCCAATATTTATATTATTAAATACTAAAAATTGTAATATTTTTAAATACTCGACATTAAACGTAATCTTTAATATTATTAGTTAATGTAACAATCTAATATTTAATATTCAACCGTGCTTAACTTTCAGATAAAAAACTTCAAATAATCTAACGAATTGATAATTTTCCACAAGAGAGAAAATTTTTATTCTAATTATAATTTTAGATGATTAAAAGAAAAGAAGAAAAATTGTTTAAAAGAAATGATTTAATATGATTGAGGAAAATCCTGTTCGGATGTTTCTCAATTTTTCTGCAGGTACTGATTTCAATTACAAATCACGTTCCTTTTCTTATATGGAATTTACATTTTGTTACTGGAAATCGATTTTGGAACCAGTGTCTGTAGCTGATCCTCTTCGCGTGAAACGAGCTTAAGCGTAGAAGCTGCATGACTGAAAGTAATCTAACGGACAATTTCGTTGAATCAATAGGATTTGACTAAACAACAGAGGATAAAGAATAAAATAACTGGCTATTTTATCTACCACATTGCTAGCAAATAAACACCAAATGGAACAGAAAATACCAAATTACTAATTTTTATCCTCTTCTCTGTTTTTCTTTCACTTCTGAATTATTTCAATAAAAATTTGTTCATTATTATAATAATTGGAAATTTCGTTTCTATTTAATCTATATACAACAGGAATATTTTAATTAACAAGTTTGAGACAGTTGAATTTTTCCTTGACATTTCACGTTTCTATATTTTAATATAAATTTCTAAACTGTTTTGCAATAAAAATTATATTGTCAAATATATTTTCATCGATATTACAGATTCATGGAATTTTATGTAGATTTTTTAAATAATCAGATAAATACATTTTGTTAATAAACTTTTCTTATTAGATTTTATAGATATATGTTACATATCTTTCCTTCGCTTTTATATATCTAGACAGTTTGTAGCTACACGTGTTTTCTATTAACAGTTGCTTGTTAATAACACCTAATAAACACAGTAAATGATTAAAGCTTAACTGTGAGCTTAACTGTGCATCATGTGAAACTAATTACAAATTACTATATGCCATTAGTATCGAAGTGGAATACGAAAGTATATCTCATATGAGATATATAATCTCTAAGCTTACTACATTAAACAATAGTAAATTCATATCAACAATAAAATTAAATTTTATATATTCATTGAGTAATAAAAATAAACACGTAAAAAAGGATTGAATAAAATAACAAGAAACGAAAAGACCTCTTACAACATCCACAAACATAATCAAATAAACTTGATATTAAAAGTATAAATTAAACGAATGACAAATAACTAATATTGAAAGCAATATTTTTAACACTAGAATTACCGATCTAATCTGGTTTCAGGTATATTATTTTTGTAATTATTAAAAACATATAACTGTTTTTAACAAAATTAACATTGACTTTCATTCATGTAGTGACGTAATTATGCGTAACTGTCTACCTTCATCATACTCCGTTTCAATTATTATTATTTACGTATACCATATTTATCTACCCACCAACAATTTAGTAGTTCAAATATTAAGTAGTTTCAATATTAAAAATCTGAAGAATATTCTAACTAACTCGAGCGTCACTTTCAAGCGTTAGAACACATTAGTCTCCGATGTTGCATCCCAGAATATAAAGTCATGATCCTATATCCTAACTCAGTAGCGCCGGAGAGGGGGCGCATGAATCCAGTGGCTGCGCGCGCATCCGTCGTGCTGGTCGCAATTACCACGAGCACGCATTAGCAACAAGCATAGGACAGACGATCGGCCGAACGATTCACGGAAGAACATAAAGGACTTTACGCGGATATGCGATTTCTAGTTTACCGGTGAATCAAACGCAACAAGTTGCAAGGAGCCGAGTATTGTGCCACGCTCACGGGTCACCGTTCTATCCACTCGCGTAATTGCACATTATCGTAAAACAACAGATAGTTCTTGCTCGTGGAACGCGATATGCGCGGGACCCTCGTTAATTCCGGCACGCGAAGTAATTTCCACGCGACGATAGCGAATTAGAGCCTTCTTGATATTCAATTCTGCAGTTTTTATATTTTCCCTTTTTAAAAATTTCAAATAACGCGGGCTGCGATTTGGAGACGCGCGACTCCCTAGAGGGCGGTAGTGTCGTTTAACGACATGAAATATGGAAACTATTTATCGGATAAGAAGTTAGGAGACGATGAGATGGGATTTCTCGCTTCGTCATTGTTTTACAGATGGTGCAGAGCGAGATAGAAGAAGATGGCTTCCTTCCGTGAAAGCGTGATTTTACATGAGGCCACGAAGTGGGTCTGTGAATGAACGGACCCCTTCAGCAAGGGTAAAAATTGGCGGCGAGCACGTTGCAGGCTCACCATCCCACCCTCTGAAGTTTAAACCCCGTGATTTGTAACCCGGGCTGTAGGTGGGGATCGTCTCCCACTCTCCTGTAGCCCGGATGCACCGTGGGCAGTTAGAGTGGGGATTCGTTTTCCGGGCAGGCCGCGGTCGGAGAAGAGTGGCGCTAGTGTCGCGGTCTCGCGGCGCCGCGAGTGTCCAGGGGTCTTCGGCGTGGGACCTTTCCCCTCCGGGACGAGCCACACGAGGGGCATTCTGCGGGGAAGCACCGGTTGCGTTCATTTCGAGTTCCCGGAGCTCTACCAGCGCGACGAGGATGGCCACTATGGAGGTTTTAGTGGGTAAAAATCCCACGTAACCCCGTCCTCGTGTCCAGGGGGCCCGCGGTATCTTTGGGAAATTTTCCTCGCGTTAAAAGGAATGAAAAACGAAAGGGAGGTTAGAAGAGGATAATTTATCGAACGAATTCTGACGAAGTAAAGATGTGGAAATCTTTATAATTACTTTTATCAAGTATCTTTGTCGTGTGAACTACTTTCAATGAAAATTAGACGGAAACAGCTCGTTTTGCGACTATGGTTTAAATAGGAAGCATTGCTATAATGGCTCACCACTAACGGATGTTGGTCGGACTTATCGAGCTTGACCTTATCCCTGCTAACAATCAGACGAGTGAGTTGATGTTAGATAAATATATATTTATTTGCGAACATTCGAATTAATGTGTCTCATTTGTAAAATATTTGGAATTTGGAATTTACCTTCAGTAGTGAGAAACAAATTTTATTTATGGCGACTGTCAATGACATATTTAATTTTCTTCTTTAGATTACTCGACTAGTCAGGCTAGCAAAATATTCGAAATCATCAACTAATGAGTGAAATTTATAATGGGTGAAATATATTTAATTCTCTAACAAAATTATTATAGACACCGGTCTATTTTATATAAAATATTTTGCTAAAATCTCAAATATTAAATACAAACTCACAAATAAATCCTGCTCAAGAATAACAAAATTTCTCTCCTTTATCATCAACTGAGTTACGCACATTGAATTTAATATGACAATATTCAAGATAAACCCTTTGGTGCCTAGAAACTAATATAACCTGATACAAAAAATAAGTAAAAAGTAGAAAATTTGCAAAATTAGTAGAACTACCCTTATTGTTAGTGTCGTCAAATATTTGCTATGCCTCGATATCATTGAACGAAAAATATTTTCATAATTACGAAGTCGAGCAGCTGACTCTCGACGCGAGGAAAATAAGAAAGGGAAGAAAGAAACTTGGAAGACCAGGCATTCCATCATTTTGTATCGGTTTTCTGGGAAACCTAGCAGAGCAACGGATTAAAAATGTCCCGCTATCGAATGAAAGAGGAAGCCACCGTGGGACTTCTGTCTATATATTGATCTTCCGTGGTATGGTACATTTGCCATAGAATTTGCCACAGGGTGCAGTGTGGGATCCAGCACGGGCGTAGAACCCACCCCACGTCACGGTATTCGGCTAATAAAAATAAATTGTCACTGGCTCCGTGCTAATTAAATCGATCCGGGAACGAATCTTTCTCATTTAACCCCCACGGTGAGATAGGCCACCCATGGTGCACTGTTTGCATCAACAAATTACCAATAATCCCCATACGTTCGTCAAATAAATCACATTGATGAGGAGCACGACGATATTTCACGCGTCTTGTTAGAAATCCTGCTCAATTATCCAATTTAGTCGTTAGAGGTCATTTTTCCTTGTTAAAAATTCTCCTGCTCTTATTTTCAACCCTCTGTAGTCAGAATTTCAATTGAAGAGCTATTGGAGGTGAAATAAATCCTTGTTAAAAATTCTCAGGTCTTTATCTTCAAAAGTGTAGTCGGAACCTTATTTGTGTATCAAAGGAGTTGATAAAAATTCTCATGGATTCCTATTTAATCCTTTATTCTGTAATCATAATCGTACTTATTTATGAAACAAATCGTTGAATGGGTGATAATCCTCTTAAAAATTCTTATAATTTTCTTTTTAATTCCTTATAGAAGATTCTATCTGTTTGTGAGAAGTAAATAAATAATATTTCTTTATTAAAAATTCTTTTAGTTTTCTTTTTAACCTTCGATAAGGAACTTTAAAAAGAATTTTACAAGTAATGTCTCTTTTTTCTAAGATTCTCATTGTTTTCTCTATAATCTTC